TTAAAAGGGCTAACCCCTGGCAGCCAAAGCATGTTTAGGAATTCCCCTAAAAAGAGAGGAGTAAACTGGAGAAAGAGGCTCCCTTACAGAAGACGCGAAGAGTCACTGAGTCCTCAGGATTTGTAGAATATCTGATACAGAAAGGAGGCGCTGCCAGGGGAAGGGGGAAACTAGGGAATTTAAATTTTAAATGACTCTTTACGGGAAACCCAGGAGAGGCGGGGGGGTTTAAAAAAGTTTTAGTAAAAATTGAAAAAAATTTCAAAATATTTTTTTTTTCATATGCCAAAAAAAAAAAGGGCAAAACCTCTTTTTTTGGGGGCCCCTTACTCAGACAGGTTGGGACTTAACAGATGACAAAAAAGGGGGAAATGAGTGAAATATTGAAACCCAGTAAGACTCTGTTTTTTAGTGAACCCTAACGGTTGAGGATCGACCCCAAAATTTGATTTTTCTTAAAATGAGCCTAAAAAACTCCATAAATGTATGCCAGTTTTCCCGTTTTTAAACCCTAACCCCGATAGTTTTCGAAAAAAGGCCTTTGACAACTTTGCCTATGCACTAGCCCCCCCCCAAAATTGGGTGGACTCTGTTTTCATTAAAAACTGCGAAAACCCTCTGGGGCGGGCCCTAATTTCACTATGGAGGAGGGCTTGGACATGGGTGAAATTCCACGTCACTTAAAAAAAACGGATAAAAGCCCACTCCAAAAGGTGGCAGAAAGCATTAGCAAAGGAACTATAGCCCCAAAAAGCTCTGACGTCCCCCCTCAAAAAAATTTCTTTGAAAGAGGCTAAGAAAGCGGGTTTTGGCAAAAACCTGGATTCCCAAAATTTTTCTCACAACCCAGGGAAACCAGGGGATCGGGCCGGGTCGCTCCTCCCTTAAAAACTACTGGATCCTATGACAGGGCCCTTGGATGCACTGGAAAAAAAATTCAGAATGCAGATGTAATAACACAGACTTTGCAAAAGCTTTTGACAAATGCGATCAGGGGCGTAATAGCCAAAAAATTACGTGAAAAGGGAAAATAATGGGAAAGTGGGGGAGAGGATCTTCAATTTCCCTAAAAAAAATCGAAACACAAAGGTTGGGGTTTCAACGGGTTTTAAAATGGAGGCTGCCAAAATTTGAAGAGCCCCTGTTCCAAAGGCCACATTACTCCCCCCCTTTCTTTTTCCCTTACCCTTTCTTTATCAGAATGACGAGTTATACCCCACAGCCCGAACATCCTTTGCGGATGTATTTGGATCTGCTGGGCTTTCATCTGCTGGGGAAACGCGGTTAACCTCCAAAAAGATATAAACAAATTTTTCCAGTGGGAAAAGGGTTTAAACAATATGTTGTTAAATTGAGGACAAATTCCAAAAACCCCCGTTAGGGAAAAACTAGAGGAGATAATAACTAAAAACAGAGTATACTACTGACTGGGCCAAATTAAAATTAGAGCTTTGCAAAGAAAAATGGTTTTGGGTTGGTTAATGAAAAATTTTAAAAAGGAAAGATGCCAACCCAAATGATGATCCTTTTCAAACCCACTTGTTCTCTTGGCCCGGGAAATTACTGCTGTCCCTTTAAAACATCCCATTCAAAGCGGGTAAAATCGCAAAATCTAGATAGGTACAGAGATCCTTTTGCACGTAAAATTTTCTGTCAAGCACCTTAAAAAGGGGAACGTTTGGGAACCCTTTTGATTTGGTACTCGTTTTGGAAAAGCAGGAGGGAGAGATATATCTAATCTACACTTGGAAAATTTGGGGGGAATGGTCCCAAATCTGCAAAACAGAATTTACTCCCTAAAGAAAGTAAAAGGGTGGGCGGGGATGGGAAAATGGCCCCCCCCAAAAAGTAGGGGCGCCATTGGGCCAAGGGGGAAAAAACAATTTAAATGTCCGGGGGCCCCCAAAAATGTTCCAAAAAGCCTCCCATCAAACATTAGGGGGAAATTTCCCCAAAAAAGCCCCCGGCTGCCCCTTTAAGAGGAGCTGGACAGATTTCCTAAAGTCAGTGCCGGAAACAGCCCGGGGGTTTTGGCTCGTACGGTTTGGGTGCGTCGGCCAGCAGTAACAGCATAGTTTTATCAGGCCCCGAAACCATCGGGAGGGCCCGGTCATGGACCAGGCCGGGGGGCGTTGATCCCCGGGAATTTAAACCTTTAGGTAACCCGGTTTTTTAACTGTTTTTTCGGTGCATTTAAGTAAACTGTACCCCATGTGTCCATATTATGTCCTCAAAGGACTCATTTATGTGGGTTTCGATGTAAAATCATTAACAGGCTTCCATTTTTTGAAACGATAAAGGGCATTTAGTAAGATTTATTCCCCCGGGATCCTCTTGGTTTAGCTTTAAATCCAGCTAAAACTTGTCTTAAATGTTAACATTAAACACAAGAGGCGAATAATGTAAGAATGACAAGTCTTATGAGGGCTGAATTTGTTTACGTGACATGTACGCACACACACACACACCTTTAGGCATACACATAATTACATTTTTACAAGCAATTTGCACAGTACATTGCACAGATATCCGGAGTGTTAACTGGTTGCTAGCTGGCGCTGGCAAACTTAGGGTGGACTCTGAGGATGTCCTCTGTCACCCAAAAGTACTACAGATGATATATGTATACAACTGTAAATGCCTCAGTCCGTTGGGCTTAACGTAACAGATACCTGGACTATTCACTTACGTAATGTTTAAAGACTGTGTGCCTGCTCCTTCGGCTTACATGTGGAACAGTGAGGACTGGGAAGAAAAATACTGAGTTAGGCATAAGCAGTGGAGAGAAAGTAGGGTGATAAAGTGGACCGTCAAACTTGGGTTTAGTTTGTAATAAACTTGTGTTGGTTGTCGTCATATAAGAACGTGAGCAACCTTAGCTTGTCCAGCTTAAATTGGTGGCCGGGGAAACAAGCCGACAAGCTGGCTATAAAGATACGTTATGGGAAGCAAATCTTGACAAGTTTCCATGACGATGGAGATTTATCAAGTCTTCATAGACATCGACACTGAACGAAAGGTGGTCAAAGTTTTGCGCTGCATTATATTTGGCGAGAGAAATACCTCAAAATTTACACCTGGAAAATTCTGAAGGGACTGTCCCAAATCTGCATACAGAAATTACTCCCTACGAAAGCAAGAAGCTTGACAGACGGCGCAAACAACCATGACACCTGGGAAAGCATTGAACCACTAAGTCATAATAAGTATAAGTGAAACACTTCTCACACCTTACACAAAGGAAGATTACTAACGGACCTGGCGCATCAAGGAATTCACAAGTTCAGTCAGTTCCTGACAACAGCTGGGTGCATAGAGTGAACTACGTGCGGCTAGCATCAACAAGTTGAGCAGTGTCATTACCAGACGCCAGTCTTGGACCCGTCGCAGGAGAGGTAAACGGCCTTCAGATAACATGCAGAGAACTAAGAAGCATGTGCAGCAATTTGACATCTTTACTGTTGAAATATTTCGCCTGCACAGTAGCTTATTCAATAAAATACAGATGAGATAAAAAAAAAACAGACAGCAGCAATGGCAAGGTAAAGATAGTGTCATCAGTCCATCAACGTCCTTGTAATAGTAGTAGATTCTGAGGTGGTCAGTCATTGTACATGTGTCTTATTCATCCACTCGTCGCTATGGTATACCAGTACCATAATTAAACCTTCAGAAACACCTGACTATCAACGGAGCAGCAGCAGCAGCAGCAGCAGCAGCAGCAGCAGCAGCAGCAGCAGCAGCAGCAGCAGCAGCAGCAGCAGCAGCAGCAGCAGTAGTAGCAGTAGCAGCAGTAGCAGCAGCAACAACAGCAACACCAACAGCAGCAGCAGCAACAACAGCAGCAGCAGCAACACCAACAGCAGCAGCAACAACAACAACAACCGCAACACGTATGAAAACGACGAACAACGAAGCAAAACAATGCAGATAAGAAGAAATACGAGCCTGGAACTTAACATGATGGGAGGGATGGGAAGAAAGGCAAAAAGATTGAACCTAAGACAGAAAACAGGAAAAAATATGAGGACTACGAACAAGGAGGAACGTGGAATGAGACGTCCACATTATGACAGCCTCTGTCACATACACAGCGACTCAGGCCTCGACGAGCAAGGGAATTAGAAGAATTCTTTGGCACATTGAGTCTTCAGGGAATCCGGAAGAGTCCATTAGTTTGCATAATGAGCTGAGAGGGAGAGGGAGGGAGGGGGAGGGAGGGTGAGAGAGAGAGAGAGAGAGAGAGAGAGAGAGAGAGAGAGAGAGAGAGAGAGAGAGAGAGAGAGAGAGAGAGAGAGAGAGAGAGAGAGAGAGAGAGAGAGAGAGAGAATGAGAATAAAAAGTTCAACCCCCCCCCAAGTACGTGACAATAACACCTATTCATTTCGAGTTGCTGCCAGTAGGTGTGTGGTATTTACCCCGTTGTCATTATCATGTTCTTGTTCATGTTCACAAGAGGCAAGATTAAACTCGCTTCTCAGAGATAATTAAAAAGCTTGTTTAATTAGACACTTCGTGGCTTGACACATGTGCAACACTGTGTATCATTGTAGATGAATGGTTCAAAGAACCGACACGTTGTTAAATTAGACACATGTGCAACTCTTGGGTATCTTTATTAAGGAAACGTTTCGCCACACAGAGGCTTCATCAGTCCATACAAAGGATAAACTTGAAGAACAGGAGGAGAATGAGATAATCAGTCCCTCAACCTTGAGTCGATGTGGTCAGTCCATCAATCCTGAATAGAATACGGCATATGAGCGGAGAAGCACCTTATAAACCGTATGACAGGAGAGGTGCAGCAGTCGTAGGTGGTGTCACATTTGTCCAATGTGGAAGTAGGTCGTGCCCAAGGGTTAGGCAAGCGAAGAATTCCCAAGTATTAAGATCCCAAGAAGTTGCAGTGTCTGACAGAATTGTAGATGAATGGTTCAAAGAACCGATACGTTGTTAAATTAGACACATTCATCTACAATCCTGTCAGACACTGCAACTTCTTGGGATCTTAATACTTGGGAATTCTTCGCTTGCCTATTATTATTATTATTATAATCAAGGGGGAAGCGCTAAACTTCGCTTGCCTAACCCTTGGGCACGACCTACTTCCACATTGGGCAAATGTGACACCACCTACGACTGCTGCACCTCTCCTGCCATACGGTTTATAAGCTGCTTCTCCGCTCATATGCCGTATTCGTATACTTTGCCGAAAGCCTTCTTAAAGTCCAAGAAACTGCAGTCTATCCACCCCTCTCTCTCCTGTCTTACTTCTGTCACCTTGTCGTAAAACTCCAATAGGTTTGTCACACAGGATTTTCCTTCTCTGAAACCGTGCTGGTTGTCGTGTATAAGCTCATACCTCTCTAGTTGTTACCTGTCTCCTTTCTTAAAAATTGGGATTGCATTTGCCGTCTTCCACACCTTAGGTAGTTGCCCTTTTTCGATAGATATGTTGAAAATTGTTGTAAGGGGAACACAAAGTTGCCTCTGCTCCCTTCATCAGAACCCACAGAGATGTTGGCCGGTCCCACCACCTTTGATGTATCTAGCTCATTTGGCAGCCTCTTCACCTTCTCCTCGGTCGCTTGTGTATAGTGTGTCCATCACTTGCTGATGTACTCTACCATTCCGGTTTGCTCGAGTTCTTTCTGTCTCCGAAAATACTTGCTTAAATCTCGTGTTGAGCTCTTCACGTACTTTTTGGTCGTTTCTGGTGATCTGTCCTCCTTCCTTTCTCAGTCTGATTACCTGGCCCTTGAATCTTGTTTTCCTCCTGATGTGGCTGTACAACAGCTTTGGGTCAGATTTGGCTGTCGATGCTATGTGATTCTCGTATTGCAGCTGAGTGCGTGTGCGTTTAAATATACAAAGGTGTAAATATGTGTACATGCACTCAAATTTGCTTTAATTTCTATTTGGATGATTACAGCATTGTTGATATTAATGTAGATACAGGTAAAAATGATAATGAATTATACACATTTGCAACATCTGCGTATCTTGCAGACGTTTCGCCATCCCCATCAGTACATTACATGGACATAATATGAAGACAGTAGAAATATACATAGCAGACAGTATTGAATACCACTGATATACCAAATGATATTGGAATAAAATAACGACAAGTTGATAAATAAGACGTGTGCAACAGTTACGAATCTTTATTCGTAAGCTGATACAAACCAAGACAGCAACTCTTCAATCTGATATCAACACGCATCAAGTCGTCAAGCTGATATAATCCAACTCACTAAGTCTCCAATGTGATATAAACACACAGCAACCCTCCCCAAGCTTATATAAACATACAGCAACTCACCAAGCAAATATATACACACAGCAACTCTCCTAGCTGCTATAAGTCAAGAAAATAATATGCTCAGTGAGGACAATTTTCAGATACTCCGCTATAAAAAATAATTCTGGAAATAAAACCTGGAAGAGAGTAAAAAAGAAAACACAAGTGCGAGATCAACCAGACTGTCAGGTCCAGAAGGGTCAGCGGGCCGCTAACACCAACAACCTGGTTGAACAGCTAATCGCCAAGGAAGCTTGGCCCCCAGGATGAGCTGCCAGAGGCAGGACAACCCTTGAAACCTATCATAGGTATGTCACAGTTATGTTCTGAAGGCAGTTTGAGATACATGGATGTTGATGGGTTGGGTTGAGCACTGCAGCATTAGTCGACGCTCTTCAAAATGCCTCGACATTCTTCACAATGCCTCCACACTGTTCGAAATACCTCTATGCTCTTCAAAATGCCTCGACGCTCTTCAAAAATACTTCAACGTTCTTCAAAAATGCCTCGACACTATTCACAACGCTTCGACGCTCTTCAAAAATGCCTCGACACTTCATAATGCTTCGACTCTCTTCAAAAATGCCTCGACACTCTTCAAAATGCTTCTCAAGGGCCTGTAAATCCCAACCTCCCAAGTTTGTGCCCCAGATATACTGCTTTCTGCCTCCCAGACTCAACATAAATTAACATTCTTCTACACCAGTGTGGTGCGCGACGGAGGCTGCATCGAGATGGGTTAGGAAGCTGTAGTCTCCTGCCTCACTCTGAGTGACCAGCAGTAGTGACAGCAGCAGCAGCAACGACTGTAGCAGTAGCACAGCATCTGCAATAGCAACAGCAGCATGAACAGTGATAGAATCAAGAACATTATTACGTGATAACATCAACAGTATCACTAACAGTAATAGCATCAATCAAAGAAGCATCACCAGTGACAGCGTCAACAATGATAGAATTAAGAACATTACTAGTAACAGTGATATCATCATTATCACTAACAGTGATAGCATTAATCAGAAAAAGTATGAACAGCATTAGCACTCATAGCATCAATAGCATCAATAAGAAAACCATCCACAGCATCCGCAGCAGTTTATATATATATATATATATATATATATTTTATATATATATATATATATATATATATATATATAATATATATATATATATTATATATATATATATATAATGTGTGTGTATGTTTATAAAAGCCTTTTCATTACATGTGATTTTATGGAGGATATTCTTGACTGCACTATTAAACGAACATAATTACAAAATTAAGCTCGTTCGATAACTCTTCGAAATTATAAATGATATAATTAAATGGGTCTCATCTGCATATTATGAGTTTAACTCTGGGCTTTTGTTGGATCAAAAACTCCCAGTTGTTTCCAGTACACTGAAGTGCCTCTAGCGTGAAATAAACACAGGAACTGGTTACCAATACACGAATTACTATTATGATTATTATTATTATTATTATTATTATTATTATTATTATTATTATTATTACTATTATCATTAACTCAGTGAAAGACTAGGATTCGAACTCAAGCGGAGCAGCACTAAAACCAGCAGGATATTGTTTACAATGGTGTTACTGTTATTTACGTGTGTACAGTCCAGCACACACAGCTGCTTGTGTGGAAAAAGTCATGTGTGTAGAGTCCAATACACATACACACTGTTGCTTGTGGAACAAGCTATGTGAGCGCAGAGACAACATAGTTGCTTGTGGAACAAGCAACTATGCACAGACCAACACATACTGGAAAAAACACTATATACAGAGCCAATACACACTGTGGAACAAGCCACGTATGCACAGAGCCAACACACATTGTGGGAGAAGCCACTATTTAAAAACCAACACACATTGTGGAACACACACACACACACACACACACACACTAACACACACACACACACTAACACACACACACACACACACACACACTGTGGAACAAGTCACCTATGTACACAACAACGCCTCTCAGGTATTATCGCTCAGTTTTACATAAACATCACCGGTAACACTTTTGAAGCGGCCCAGAATGTATTTAGTAAAATGAAAAATAAATATGTTTCCCTTTGGAATGAAACTGTGGCTGGTGTTCGCAAGACAGCAGGTGGAGTTTTGATAACAAGGCGGTGTCAGGGTGGCACCGGGCCACAAGCTCAGCCAACAGGGTGGTGTCAGGGTGGCGCCTGGTCACAAGCTGCACACTGTGCCCTTCTGAGGGAGGAAGGGAGGCTACACTGAGCGATAATTCCCTTTTCTTGTCAAATTGCCCCCATTACTTTTTGCGTTTCCAGAATCAGATACCATTTTTGCCTTTAACCCGCTTCATCCAGTTCATTCTTACTTGTAAAAAGAAATTTTCCCACCGTCCCTGTGGATCGTAACGCTTCTCTCCGCCAGTCACGTCCCCTGCTCCCCCCTTCCACTTTCTCAAATAGCCGAACTTCCCCACAAGTCTATCCTGGTTCACCCCCATCGCTCCCGGATAATCCGTATGAACCATTAACTTTTTTGGGAGTTCAATAGCCAAAAACGCGGGGGAAACCCGCGAAATCAAACAAGGTTAAGTCCAACTTCTTGCTGAGACATGGTCAGCAGATTTCACTACCGGTTGTGTCCCCTGTTTTTTGACTCTCATTTTACTGTTTCCAAATTGTACTGTTCTCTTGCACTCCATTGCACATAATGTATATAATGGTGAAGGAATACACAGGTAAAGAAATCTACTCTTGTTTGTATGTCTTGCTCTCGCTTGCCCTGTTAAGTTTGTTTGCTTGTTGACTTGTTTACAACGGGGTGCTGCAGGCTTCAGACTACCAGCCTGTGTTTGTAATACTTGTATACATGATCAAGTTAGGTTAGGTAAGATTCGTCAGAAAATGGAATTTTCTTGACGCGAGTCTTAATTATATGACCAATCATTGGAGTTTTTGGTCATTTAACCGAGGCCTTCCGCTGGCTTACTGGTCCACCCCTTTAAAAATTAAGGCTATAATTATAACCATTATTTTTTTATAACCAAATACGGGCTCCATGCTGGAGCCGCATGCATCAAGATGGACCTAACCTAAGTTGCTTATGTTGTTAAAATTCTTGCAAGTTCTTACGTTAACTAGTTTGGCGTTTGTTATACGGTTGGTATGTGCTTCTGGTGATGCGCTTGGTGCAGTGCTTACCCCAGGAACTTTCTCCTTGAACGTTGTCCGCAGTCTTACACCTCGGAAGTTCCATTCCGTGTAAAATATTCCCAATCCCTCTCTTAATCTCATTACATATCACTTGTAATGACTGAATTCAAGTAGCTACCTTCCTGACCAGCTTTACAAGGAATCAAGCCATCGTGAAGCCTTGCCCTGTTCTCTCTTTGTTTACCTCACCAACTTAACATCAGAAACAAACAACAATATAAAATATTCAACGTCCTCCGGTAACTTTTTTTTTTATATGTACTCTATCAGGAACAGCAGAGTTCTAAATACTGATCATCTAACTACTCGTCACTTGTGTCCACTCCGACACCTTTAATACTATCACCCTCCCCCTAGTATTCTCCAGGTATTCTTGTATTCATCTGGGTATCTTCCTGTTATAATGCCTTCTCTTCTATTTTTTTTTACAGCAGACTCTTGTGTGGTACTGTGTCCATAAAGTCTCTCCCTCTCTCATATATCACTTTTACAAGTGAATTATGACATCCCGATGGTAGAACTCCTCTGGTAGTAACAATGGTAAGTAACAGAGGCAGCTGCAGTACCAATAGCAACAACTGTGGAAGTGGCAGAAGTACCACCGACACCAGGAGCAGCAGCAACAACACCAACTAGGAGTAGTAATAGCAGCAACACTAAAAGTATTAACATAAGTGATAGCAGTAGGATCACTCAAAAAGAGCTTGACCGAGGTTCTGTAACTGGTAACTCGTACTACTGGGAACTGATACTACTGAGAGTATTGGGTAGAGCCAGGTAGTGGGTAGAGCCAGGTAGTGGGTAGAGCCAGGCAGTGGGTAGAGCCAGGTAGTGAGTGGAGCCAGGTAGTGAGTGGAGCCAGGTAGTGAGTGGAGCCAGGTAGTGAGTGGAGCCAGGTAGTGGATGGAGGCAGGCAGTGATTGGGGCCAGCCTGGCCGCTGTTACCTGATAATGCTTCCCATACCCCACTCCTTATCTCACACTATCTATATGGCACCAAGGAAACATGCTCACAGGCCTTCATTGTGCCTATATAACTCTGACGTTGTTCATAAGTGGAAAGGGTTGAATGTGCTCTCACTTAGAACCCGCGAGTGTGAAGTAGAAAACAAGACGACAACCCAGAAATATTTAGCATCTCACGGAGCATTTATCGTCCTGACTTGTTAACAAAATACTCATGAGATCAATTTTTGCAGGAGAGAAGGATAGGGACGAGGATGTGGGGAGAAGACAGTGCTAATCTTTGAGATAAAGCTCATTTCTCTGGAGCATAACCATGCTAATATCGGCTTGTCATAAAAATACCAACTAGTCCAGATTCAGGAATAGACTGAAACACAGTGTTATAGTCGTGCTCTGCAAGGGAGCAACTTGCCCTTACTGCCGAGGGCTTATAAAAAAAACTAAGGTTTCAACGATGCCAGAGGATTCCCAACCGGCTCAGCTGTTGTGATATGTAAGTACTGAAAATTTGAATGGAATATACTACAAATAACACACGAACATACAAGACATTCTTAGGACTTATACGAGCAAATGCCAGTAGTTCTGAAGACAGGTGCAGAGGAAATTTTTAATGCGACAGCATCTCGCTCTGTGCAGAGCTTTAAGGCTCTAACTTAATAGAGCTGTATTGTTTCTTCAGTACTGTATCTTAACGCTGTATTGTTTCTTCAGTACTGTATCTTAACGCTGTATCTTTTCTTCAGTACTATCGGAAATACGCTTTGGTATCTTTCTGTACATAATGTTCTCTGGTACCTACGATCTTTATGAGATCCGCAGTACAATTCATCTCGACAACCCACTTCGGAGAAAGGAAATTACTCAGTTCCCACATTATTTGCAAAGGCTTTATCATATTCCAATTAAAGTGTACGTTCCCACTCCTAACATAAGGATTCCCAGAGCAAAACCAGTTCTGAAAAAACTGCGAAAAGTAAATCAGTGTTCACTGTCCTTTCTAGTCTCTAACAAATTTAGTTAGATCAAAAAGTTTCACCAAGTCTTGATACCTTGAGAGGCTGGCATCACAAGTAACGAGTGTAAGCATTTGAGAGCCGAGGCTCTCCAACCTGTTGCTGGTAAATGTAAGAATCATCAAGAAAAGAAGTCAGAAACCCTCCAGGAGCGAGTTTCATTAGTTGGTTCAAAGAGCGCCGTATCAACGGAGACTCCCCGTGGAAGTAAAAGTATACGCGCTACAAATTCTAACAACCTGGTTGATCAGACAACGACGGGGGCCGCATAAGGGAGGGAGGGAGAGAGAGGGAAGAGGGGAGAGAGAGGGGAGAGGAGAGAGAGAGAGAGAAAAAAAAAAGAGAGAGAAAAAAAAAGGGAGAGTAAAGGAGGTACTCTTGGCTAAGCCAGCTCCGCGACGTAGCGGCATGCCCGTGGAGGTTTTAAAATTATTTTCCTTACTCTAAGCCCGGCCTGAGGCTGCCCTTCCTGGTGACTGCTTGATCAGGCCCGCACACAGTCCTGGCAGCCTGCGGTGAATCAAGGGGCAGCCAGTAACAAATTGCAAGAGTTTTCACATTCGATTTCTGCCTATTTCTCAGGCACTTGAGAAGATCAATTTAAGAACCTAGCAAAAATTAGTTT